AAGGTTAGGGGTAGGGTAAGGTACCGTTTTACCTTTCGTTTTCCGTTACTTCCCTACCCTACCCACCACCGTCCTCGCGCACTCCTACTACTACCTACCACCACACACACACACACACACACACACACACACACACACACACACACCCTCATATATCAACTGCTTCCAGAGCCCAATCTCCCTGCAAGAACTCCCTCTCTCCTAGTCCCCTTCTTGCCCTCCTCCCTGAGAGCCTAGCCTCAGGGGTCCTGGAAGCAGTAGGGACTGAATGGTGCAGGAGTTAAGACTCTAAGGACACACAGTTCTACTCTCACTAGTTGGGTGACCTTGAGCAAGTCACTAAACCTCTCTGATCTCAATTTCCTCACCAATAAAATGAGTATAATAATAATACCTACCCCAACATTCTGATGAGGAGTGAATGAATTAATTTATGTAACCTGCTCAGAGCAGTGTCAATCCCTGAGTAGGGGTTGAGCTGGTGTCAGCTCTCACTGTTACTGAATTCCAGGCAGCATAACACAATGGGAAAAGCATGTAACTTGGAGGCTGACAGACTTGCGTTCAAATCCCAGCACCCACTGACCCCACTGAAATAAGTAGATACCTTATTTCCCAGTTTCCTCCTCTGCAGAAGGGGCGTACTGATATAAACTTACCCAGCAGTGTTAACGCAGGGGGTGGGGAACGCCTGTACTAAAAAGAGTATGGTGGCAGCTGCAGGAGGAGGAGTCCAGCTCCTGGCACCTGATCCCCCAGATTAGCTGCTGCACTCTGGGGCCAGCGGGGAAAACTGGTCAGACTTGGAAAGGAGAGCCAGGGACCAGGCAGGAATTCGGGCCCCCAGGAGGTGCCATAAATAGCCAGAGCAAGTCAGAGGCCCTCCAGGGAAGCGGGGAGGAGGGGCTGGAAAGCAGTAGTGGAAAAGGAAGCTGTCAGTCGTCAGTCCAGGAAGGGTCAGGACACTCTCCCAAGTGTCAAAGGTAAAGTTGTAGGTAGATGTGGTAGGAGCGAGGGGTCACCTCTTCAGAGAGGACCAGCTTGGGGACCAGCTCTGCACCATCTCCCAACATCACCCAGAGTCGGATCATTTCTTCTACACTCTTCCACCCTGCAAGTCTTTGGGAGACAGTCCTGCTTCCTCAGTTTCATCTTTTTGACCATCCTGGAATAGAGAGTAATAACTCAGCCTGCGTCACAGGCAGGAACCACTGAGGCCCAGAGATGCTAAGTGAGTTGGCCAAGATCACACAGTGAATCAAAGGCTGAGATGGGGATATGAACATGGATTTTTTTCCCCTCCCAATCCAGGGTTACACACAGCAGCCAAAATACAGGAAGCTACTCTCAAGAAGGAAGTCTTTCCAACAGGGGAAAGGATTCCTCCTCCCTACTTTCCTCCTTGCAAGACATTTCACACTCTTCCTTCATAGATCCAAGAACATCACAGCAGCTGCAACCACAAGTGGGACATAATGCTTTAGAGATGCAGCCATCAGAGCTTGCTGGGTGCAGCCCTAGAAATAAAAATGTAGGCTCAGAAGACCCGGACTTAAATCCTTGTGTGACCTTATACAAATCACTTCAACTTTCTGAGCTGCAGGGTCCCTAACCTGTAAAATGAAGCCAATAATACACACACACACACACACACACACACACTTCAACTTACTTGAGCTGCAGGGTCCCGTAACCCTCGTAAAATAAGAAGACCAAAATACACACACACACACACACACACACACAACCGAGTGAGACTGGTGTGAGGACCACAGGCGATCATGCGTGCCTGAACACCCTCAGATGCTATAAAGACTGGGAGCTGTTCCTGGTGAGGCAGCACCTTATTTACCTCTGTCTCCTAGGTGTTTACCACAGTAGTGCCTGGCACATAGAAGCCCTCGATAAATGCTGATCAAATAAAAGAATGAAGTAAACTCTCTGCATTTAAATGTTGTGTGTCTGTGTGTTGGCTATTTATAAGCTATCATTGCCTTTACTTTGTGTACACAAGCACTACTACCGCAACCCTGTGCCTTACACCCTTGGGAAAAATACCTGAAAAAAATTACCTCTGGATAGGATGCTTTTAATAATAAGCCTAATAGGTAGGTTGACCGTATATGTAGTTGATTGTTCTACACTGGGTCACTTGGGGAGAGAAAGGGGCGTTCGTAGCAATTATGCCTGGAAAACAGATATAAACTGGGACGGTCCTGGGCAAACCAGAACACCTGGACATCTCGCTCACAAGGGGCCATGCTGCTGAGAGCTCTCTGGAAGAGAGAGCCTCCAATCCTCCGAACTATCCTGACTCCTATTCTCTAGTCAGACCATGGAAAGGGTCCCCTGCCTCCTCATCCCCACCACCCAACCCGACTGGGAGCTATGTTCAGACTGGTTCCCCCTTTTTCTCAGGTTCCTCGTTTTCAAACTCTAGGTGACCCAGATCCCATCCTTCTGTTGCCCTGAGAATGTACTAGAGTGTTTGCATTGCCCCAAACATGAAAACCCTTGGCCCCAGCTAGGCACACATCATGTGAAGTGCAAAAATCATCCAGCTCCCTCCCTGTGCTGTTGCAGCTCAGGGATTATTCTAAGGGCCCCGGTCATCTCTCATTAGTGTTGATAGGCTTATAGCTGGTCCCTTGACTTCTGCTCTTTCTCACCTTTTCTCTATTCTCAACAAAGCAGCCTGGGTGATCTTATAAAAATATATCAGACCACACATCTCACCTGTTCAAAGACAATGACTTCCCATCTCACTTAGAGAAAAAGCCAAGGCCCTTACAACAGCCTAAGGCCCCAGCTATTTATTCCTCATTTATCTCTCTGGCCTAATCTCCTAGGACTCTCAAGCCACACTGATGTCCTTACTTGTTCCTCAAATACATCCACCTCAGGATCTTTGCACCTGCTCTTCTCCTCCTTGGAACATGTTCCCCTTAGATATCCATATGATTATTTCCCTTACCTTCTTCAGATCTTTCCTCAATTGCCTTCTTTTCAAAGTTCTTCTCTGACCATCCTATAAAAACATGTCACTGTGTTTCCCCTCCCTGACTTTTCTCTTTAGTACCACCAAATAGACCATATATACTACTTGTCCAAACCCCTCAAGCCCTGTGAGGCAAGACTTTGTTTTGTTCTTTGCCATATCCCCAGTACCTGAAACAACACCTGGCATAGAGTAGATGCTCAATAAGTATTTATTGAATGAATAAAGGACCAATTGGGAAGGAACATGCATGGCGGTTGAATGTTTGGCCTCTGGTGTCAAATGGCCTGGGTTTTAACCCTGCCTCTGCTGCGGGCTGATGACCATAAGCATGGCCCTTAACCTTTCCGTGAGTCTCAGTTTCCTCATGTGTAACACGGGGATAATCCGCATTGCCTGCCAGGGCTGTGGAGAGCATTAAGTCCAATTTCACATGTAAAACACTAACATCATTGCCTGGCCTATTTTCAAAACTCCCAATTTAATAAATCTCAGTATTGTTACTCCTGGAGGCTCCCAGTGGATTTGACACTGCCTTATGTGCCCATAACCGGAAGCAGCATCCACTCCCTTTAAGTAACAACTCACAGTTTCTTTCCCAATTGGCAGTACTTCTCTGCCCTGTCTCAGGACCCTCCTTTCCTAAACCCAAATCTCCTCAACCAAATGGGCTCGGCTCTCTTTGCAACTGCCCCATTCTGCACAAGCCTTTTCCTGCTTAAACTTCTGAGAGAGCTTTCCTCCAAAATCTCAGGATATCCACCCTGGGGCCCTTCCATGATCCCACCAGGATGCTGGGAAAGTCTGGTGGGAAACAAAGGTGAGGGATAGAAAGTGAGGGCGGAGGAGAAGGAAGAGATATGAAGACATGTGTGAACCGGTGCGGGGTGCGGTGAGAGGGCCAAGCCATCCCCACCTGCCAGCTTCCTGTCTTGCTACTGATAAATAGGGGATCCTGATGGCCAGATTTTCCATTCCCCCCATCCTGGCATCCACAGTCACTCAATTAAAAAAAGATAGAGGGAGAGGGCCTGGGGGAGGGGCCTCTGCTTATAAAGCCTGCGGCCCAGGGGGTAAGCGCACTCCGCCTGCCTGCCCTGTGCTCTTTCTGTCACCCTCCAGGCAGACTTAGCTGCTGACAGCTGCTTGGGACTCTGCTGCCAGACCTTGGCCCAGACCGCCGCCTCCCTCCCTCTCAGCAACTCCTGAGCCACAGCCCCTCCATGGCCCAGAAAGAAGAGGCTGCTGCGGCCGCGGCGCCTGCCTCCCAGAATGGTGAGGATCTGGAGAACCTGGAGGACCCCGAGAAGCTGAAGGAGCTGATTGAGCTGCCGCCCTTTGAGATCGTCACAGGGTGAGAGCCCGGTGTGGGCTGGGCTCCTCCTCCCTAGAAGAGCACCGGCTGGGGACAGGCTGGGGGCACTGAGGACGATAATCGGAGGGGTCAGGGTCTCCGTCCTGCAGTGTGAGAGTGCGCAGCGGGGGCTGCAGGGGACCCAGCAGCAAACCTCTCTTGCTTCTAAGTGACACCTTGGACCCTCTAACAGGGGAGGTAGGAGGAGCTCCGTGGAGGTGAGGGCCCAGAGAAGGAAATCACCCCTGAGGTTTCATGGTTTGGGGGCGTCCATCAGCTGCCTCTCTAAGTAGATGTTGTATAGTTCCAGGGAATTTGGTCAGAACACCGGATGCCACTGGCACATGTCAGTGTGGCCCCAAAGTACCTCTTCCCTCAGCTTCTCTCTCTGCTTCTGAGTGGGTCTCTCCTCTACCTGTATGTTTCTCTTTCTTTAGAGCTTCTCTCTGGGGTAGAAGATCCTAAGACAGGAAAGACAGATTCATCCTTTCCCAAGCCAGGGTGAGAAGAGGTTT